TTTTGTAAGCAGCTTTAAGCATTGAAAAATATTCTTAAGTACTAGACTTTGATTCCAAATACATCTTTGTCTACCTATATACATGGGTACATGCAAATGAAATATGTGTGTAGGGATATGTCATTTCATTTTCCAATTTTTCGATTTGAGCATATAAAAAGTCACAGTGTCTTATTTATATTCTTTCTCTCCCCTCCCCCTCCCCCTCCTCCTCCCCCTCCCTCTGTGTGTGTGTGTGTGTGTGTGTGTGTGTGTTTAAGAAAGAATGGAAGCTATTCCTTAAAGTCCTCCTGAGAGGACTTGCTGCTCTGACACCTTCATCTCTCAAGCACACAACCATCCCAGGCTTGCCAGTCTGTTTAAATTAGTCATGTATGACTAGACTCGGGCAAAGTGTAAAAGTATCTGCTCCAAGGCTACTTGGAGCCAGTCGGAAATGAATCTGTCTCCCAGAGATATTTCTTCAGACAAAATTATTAATGCTTAGTCGCATGGGAAGTGTCTTTTTTTTTTTTCTGGCTGGGTTGAAGGGTGGGAGAATTTCCACCAGGATAAGCCCACGATCAGCTGGTGGTTGGTGGAGGAAAAAGGTTAAAATGTTGCTTCAGGGAAGTCTGGCTTCTTTTCCACCCCCACCCCCTTTTTTTTCTTTTTAATCTTGCTCATCTTGTGTGCTGTTTTCAGTCTTAATCGCAACCAGCATTTTGTATACACTGACAATAAATAAGAGGGATGGAGAAGGGGTGGGGGGAAGAAAAGAAACCAAACAATTTCATTATGATGGAAACAAGGAACTGTTCTATTTGTCCAGGTTAATCCTCTGCTATCTGTCTGAATTTATTCAGTTCAGAATTTGAGGATGTTGTGGATAAAGGGCTTTGTAATCAGCTTTAAGAGCTGTGGTGGTGCAGTGGTTAAAATGCTATATTGCAGGCTAATTTTGTCCACTGCCAGGAGTTTGATTCTGAGCAGCTCATGGTTGACTCGGCCTTCCGTCCTTCCATGGTCAGTAAAATTGAGGACCCAGATTGTTGAGGGAAGAGTCTGACTCTATAAACTGCTTAGAGAGGGCAGTAAAACACCATGAAGCAGTATATGTCTAAGTGCTAGTGCTATTTAAACATTCAAAAATATTCTTAAGTACTAGGAATAGGTTTCATATACATCTTCATCTACCTTCATACATTTGTGCACACACAATGAAGTATTGTGGGTATGTCATGTCATTTTCCCAAGTACTTCATTTGAAAGTATAAAAAGTTAAAGTGCCTTATGTATATTGACTTCATTTTCGCCCCAGCTCTTGAGTAACAGAAAGTCTTGTGGATGGGGGTTTATTTTCAAGCTGGGAGTGATAGATAATTCTAAATGCCTTTCCTTGATCATGAAATGTTGCATGAAAGTGAAGTTTGCCACACAAGGAAAATGTTCATTAATATTTAACAATCTAAAATAGAACCTCAGGTTTCAGACTTTTATCAAAGCGTGGGTACATATACTCCACAAAATAGGCCTTTGAGATATAATGCTACACATTCTGGTATTGATAGTTCCAGTAATTTTACAGATCAATACTGGTAGAATTCACGCTGCTCATCATTAAGTTTCTCTCATTTTTCTCATCATCCACCACAATGCCAGGATCTTTCCTGACCAAGTCACCACTAGTTCAGGCTGCATGTTAAAGTAATTTTGCTTCATCATCTTTCAGAACAGTATGTACTGGTCACTGCTTCCCTTACTTCTACACCATGTATGGCTTGCACAAACCTCTCCATGCCACTTATCATTAATTCCTGGTCTGTATTTCTTTTGATCAGTTCCACAAAATACTCTCTTAAATGTAGCCATATAAGAAATCTAGAAATATTATCCCTTTCTCAAATGCATGTGCTAAGTTCACTGGGGATAATAGAACCCAACACTCAGATTACTTTTGGTCTAGGACAGGGGTCTCCAACCTTGGCAACTTTAAGCCTGGTGGACTTGGCTGGGGAATTCTGGGAGCTGAAGTCCACCAGGCTTTAAAGTTGCCACGGTTGGAGATCCCTGGTCTAGGAAGCAGTAGCACAGTCTCCTGAATTCAGTTACTTCTGTAATCCACAGTGATTCTGAAGTGGAACCTATCACTTTTTCAAGCTTCTACTTTAACATAGACCTCTCTTTGAAACACAGAACAGCTCCCTTCTCTCTGTCTAGTAGGTCTGTTTGATTTATACCTAGATATAGCTTATTTGGGAGTCCCCTTGATTCCAGTAGTTTTCTGTTATTTTTATGTTTTAATTTACAATAATCATCTTCATCTTGAAGAAGATTCTTGAAGAATAATCTTCGTCTTGAAGAAGATATTAATTAATATAACATTAATATAAGGGGGAAAATATATGAGTTCTATTTGTGTAGGTTTGTACGTGTTGAAAACAATTAAATCTTTGGGCTAGCGAGCATTTCCAAGTGCACATTCATTCATTCCTTAACCCTACTTGTCCCAAATTTGACCAGAAATATTTTCATTCAGATGCCCACAGGATGATTCATTTTGAATCACCTCTTGGTTTTTATCCATGGGTCAATTTAATGCTCTCTATGTTGTTTATATTAAATATCAATGATCCGGCTTTATTTTGGATTAAGAGATGCTTTCTCTGCTTTTGCCAATTGGATTGTCCCAAAACATTTCCCTTAAGGCTTAGCCAGCCCAAATCCTAACTCTTGGAATCTTGTCCTCACAACAGAACTATTCACTTGGACTAATGCCTAGCATCTCCAAGGAAGTCATCTTGGAAATTTCTGGAGTTAATTTTTTTATTTAGCATCATCCTGACAATTATTATTGCCTTCTTCTTAATCATTTATAGTTTATGCCTAAATTCCATAGTTTGTATGTCGCACATAAAAGAAAACAATATTAAAATATTGATTGCACCAATCATGACTTTAAAAACTTCAAATTAGAGATTATTTCATATCGATATTATTAAAGTTTACCATTAGTAATAAAGTAGCCACAGTTTTTCTGAGAGCATCACCAAATAGCCTATTGTTACCCTTCAAAAAAATTGGAAGGTTAAATTACATTTAGACCTTGCCTAATGTTATTTCTAAGGAACATTTCCTTCTTCCTGTGTGTGATGGATTCCTTTCCAAGGCTGTCATGTTCTATAAAAACAGAAGTATTGCCATCTTGGGAGTGGGATGTCTTTACTACAATCTTGAGGGCCCCAGACAGGACTCTATTATGCCTCTGTTCGCCTATGCAGATCAGCCTCCCTTGGCTTCAGATGAACAAACATGTTGTTGCTATGGCTAAGAGAATTCATCAACTAGGCCTCCTAAAGCTTGCATCTCCTTCAAGCTTTTATGTCCCTGGCTTTTTTCCTCAGCAATTGCTGCAGCCAATATAGATTAGGGTTTCAAAAAAATAGGAATGTGGTTGAACTACTGGGTTGTGCTGCGGTGAAAGCAAACAATCAAAATATGCACAGTTTTTTGAAGTTTTGTTTGCGTCCATGCCACAGACATCTTGTTTGGTCCTGAGAAACCATCATCTAAGTTATCTCTCACAACTCAGCTTATAATAATTATTTTCATTAATTTTACTGTTTGTGGATTTGGACTCTGTCAACATTTTAGTCTAAGGGAAAATACTCTTGCAAATGAATGCTTTTATTCAGATAGCCAATTTCACCATCGCCATCTGTTCTGAACAAAAATCAGAGAAATAACTTCTCTTGCTGCAGTTTTAGTAGTTTCTTTGTGTATGTGTTGGATTGGACTGTAGATTTTTCCATCTAAACAAGCCTCAGACAGCTTCCAGAAACGCTAGCATGTAGCCACACTGTCTCCTGAAATGCTCTGTTCTTTCCCTACAACTGCTAACAAATTGCCTGCATATCGGAAGGAATGAGCTTATAAGTCAAAATCACTGTATGAGAGGAATGGTAAGGCCTTGCCAGAGCAAAGACCCTCCCTTTCATGAAAACATTAAATCTCAGATTCTGAGAGTTTGTGATAATAAAATGTTTCACTCAAGAGTGGGAATTTACACCTCATTGGATGGCATAAAATGCTGTTGAGGCTCTTTCAAAAATCCTTTGAGTTCTTGGTTTATTTGTCACATACTGTACAAGTTCATTCTTCTAGAAATGTTCAGCTTGAAAATGTAGTGGGAACAAGGAAAAAAGAACAAGTAGAAAAATATGAAATAAGTAGCATAAGTGTTACATATTTGTTTTACTATCTCAGAACCAAAATGATTTAAGAATTGGTACATAGCCCGGGAGTTTTTATAGAGACATAGAGACACACTCATATACATACACGTACAGTGAAAGACTTATTTGTAGTTGTGATATAACTGCAAATATCTTGGATTTAGGACCAGGAGAACACAGCTTAAAGTCCACCTTCAAGCATGGTGACAATGACTTAAGGTCACTCACCATCTGTTCCTGCCCATGTGGTAGTGGTTGTAGAAGAAATTGGAGAAGGGACATCTTTGGGACAGTTTAAATTCCTGGAAGAAAGCAGGATATAAATCTAACAAAGCTCAGCAGGATATCAGTAGAATGCTCTTCATTTTTGCTCTCCAATTTTCTAAGAGTCTAAAGTATGTTTGCTTGGGAACAGTCTAGATTCTTCTTGAGCCAACTTCCACATGAAGACATAGTTAGCCAATTATTGTAGTGTTACTTATTTAAAGTATAGAAATTACATATTGTGCAATGTATCTGCAGTTTTCAACAAGCAATTTCTGGGTAGCTGTTCTCTTTCTATTCAGGATAATTCTAAGATTATTAATTATAATTCTATTTTACAGTAACACAGAGCCGCTACAGTGACTACTGTGTTTTTTGGTGCCAGATAGGATTTCCTTGATGGCATTTCTGGATAATTTATATTTTGCATGTGATCTGGATGATTGTATATTGAACTTGTCATACAACAGTCTTGTATTTTGCAAGGATTATTGACGATGAATTAACTTTAATGTATTGCAGACTTAAAGAGGCCGAAGAAGTATGCAGACAGAAAAAAGGAAAATCACTTTACAATATAAAACAAAAGCATGATTCGGGAATTGTAAGTATAATTATTCTTACTATCTATAAAAATGTTAAATGTTAAAAGCAATATGTAAAAAATGAATGCAAGGTCTTAAAATAAAACTAAGCAGATCGCTAGATTTAGGCAATAGTGATGGTGATAGCAGTAGACTAAGCACCAAGTTGCTCTAACTGATCTGCTATAGTCACTTAACCATAATGCAGGATAAATGGTTTGTTTTAAGCACCTGGAAATTATATCTTGGGAAAACTCAACTTCATATACAAATAGTCTGATTTAATTGAATTTTGATCTTCGAGTTATAGAAACCTTGTTTCACGTGGTTGTTTGTCTTGTTTTGGACTATTAACAGCAAATCTTACTCTGTGACATTTCCCTGGTAACTACTTTTTGAACTATCCATTGTCAGTCACACATTCACTAAGGATGTGGGTCATAACCACTTCGATGTGCAGGGCTTTTTAATGTTTTCTATTGGGAGATAAATGTTTCAACTGCATAGTTGTTTCATGCCGGCATAGGAGACTTTTGATCCTATAAGGCAGCACAGTTATTTTTCAGGAAGCAGAGTTAGAGTAATACTGTATAGTATCAAACTGAACAGCATCAAACATTACTGAACAGATGCAGGACTATGAAAATAATGGGGTAACCTTTGGCGATATAACAGGTTTCACAGTGTTTATGAATATGCTATGAAATACTGGATCTCCTCTTGCTCACACTGTTCTGTGTCCTTCATTTTCAGAAAGCAAAGATAAGCATGAAAATATGAAAGAAGAAAAACTGATGTCTTTGTTCCCAGACTCAATAAATGGATCATGCCTTGGGAGGTAGAGGAAAAGAAATATTACCATTCAGCCCATTTGTTTTCTTGATTTTCTTGCATTTGGTTTCCTGTTTACACTGACTACTATGAACATTCACTGATAAACGGATTTGCACGATGGACACTCAATAATGGAAGCTATTTGATATCTCTCTCTTACAGGCACCCCATACACTGCATTCTTTCCATCCAAACATTATTTTGCAATTTATATGGTAAAATACTAATAAAGACTAAAGTAGTCTGTGTAAGCAGCAGTATTTCAGTATGTCCTAAACATACTGAAAACTTTATAAACATCTACCTTCATATAGATGTTCCATTCCTGTAGGATTTTTTTTTCTCCAAAGCAAATACATTACAACATTGCATTTAGATTAGGGAGAATGTTACTTCTCAAGAACTCTTTGTATCTATTTCCTATTGACCTTGTAAGTGTACTCTGAATTGGTACAAGTGTTTCTTTTACACTCTAAGCCATGATCTCCAAAGTTACTTCATTGCCTCCTCACAAAATATATCCTAAATATGACATTCAACCCAGCTATTATTATAATTGACAAAGTTGATCATGATTTGCTGATATTGATGAATGGAATGAAAACAAAAAGGGGAAAACCCAGTTACAGTTAAGCACAGGACTCACTTGGTAGATACCAAACAATCTTGGGTATTTCAATATTATATTCATTGAAGAAACTGTTTGCAGAGTAACAGGAAACTTGTGGTAGACTTTCTATCAAACTCTTGAGTTTAAAAAAAATTAAAGAACTAAAGATCTTTCTCTTTTCTCATTCTAAATTATGATGGATTATTAAGAGCCTTGGTTTTTCTGGCGATAAAGCAATGATTATTTCTTCTGTTTGATCTCACATTTTATTAAGTACTTGTATTACAAAAAGTACAGCAGATGCAATTGTTTTGCAATACTTCTGTCTCTACTGCTAAAAACAATGTAATGATTGGACAGATCTAGTTTACCACATTTTCTCCACACTTTCTAAGAGCAACTTTTTAAAAGATTAAAAAAGTGAAAAGTAGGGAACGATGTATATATATCTCAATGCCTCTTAGCATACAAGGTGCTAGAGTGAAGCAATTTCTAAGTTTTGAAATATTTATTTTTCTCCATGTAACCCACTATATGATACCTGGTTGTCCAGAGATTAATATGTGATTCCAGGAATCATAAGGGCTGCATAAAATATGACCTCAGGAATTGAATTTTTAAAATACCAATCACTAAAAAAATATATTTTTCCTCCACTGGGAAATGATTTCCTGTTACATAATCAGCTTGAAACTCTATCATCTTTCAGGATAGCCCCCAAACTGTGTTATATGATCCAATAGCATCAGGAATAAAGATTATTTCTTTGGGAAAGGGAAAAGAGAAGATTGTTACAAAAAGACCTATCAAAAGCAATTAAAGAAGTAAGACATATTTTTAATAGCACTGATTAAAACTCATGTTTGTATTTATGTAATTTATAGTCTTGCTGCATTTCTGCATTTGTTTTTTTTCATTTAAATGCATTTAAAAACATTGAAGCATGTTTCTGTTTTGTAGATTTCCTGTTCCCTTCAGTATCTACTGTGTGTATATTGCCATTCTAAACTGAATAATGCTACACTTAACAAAGATCGCTATGTGCAATATTGTATTTAGTGTTTCTATTCCAATTTTTTTTAGAATGTTAATTTATATGAAAAATAAAAGAAATAATGAGATCAAAGTTGTATTATGCAGATAGTACTTCAGTTTTTGTTGCTCTGAGATGATTAACAATCACTTTGGTTGCAAAAAAATGATTTTTTTATTAAACAAAATTAAAATTTCCTCTTTTGAGAAATGTACAACATAATCTAAAACAACACATGAAGTCAACACCAAAGGAAAACAGATATACAAGCTGAGGCATGCTTTCTGGCTCAGTTTAGCATTTAGGCAATAGCAATAGCCCTTAGGCTTATATACTGCTTCATAGTGCTTTACAGCCCTCTCTGAGCAGTTTACAGAGACAGCATATTGCCTCCAACAGTCTGGGTCATTTTACTGATCTGAGAAGGGTTAATCTTGAACTGGTCAGGATTGAACTACTGGCAATCAGCAGAGTTAGCCTGCAACACTGCATTCTAACCACTGCATCACCAGGGCGCCATTTGTCATATTGTTCTCAACTTATTCAGATCTAAATGAGGGGAAGTTCCTCTACCAATAACAATAGCATTTTGACTTCTATGCCACCCCAAATTGTTTTATAGCACTCTTTACAATTTACAGTGTAGAAGCATTATTTGCATATTTCCCTCAACTATCTGAGTCCTCATTTTAACACTCTCAGAAGGATGGAAAGCTGAGTCAACCTTGAGCCCCATCAGGATTGAACTCCAGGTTGTGGGCAGAGTTTGCCTGCAATACTGCACTTTAATCACTGCACATCTAGGTCTCTTACTCTGGATTTCTCTGACCATATCTCATTTCTCTCTGCCATACACCATTCAGAAAATGCATCCTGCTCTAGATTATTGGCATCTACTTAATCCCATTTCCTACACTGAAACTGTTATAAGTTGTTGTTGTTAGCAGAATGCCTGGAGCAGTATTGGCATTGTTGGTTTCAGACAGATATAAGAATCCACTTTGGCTTTAGCCACACCCATTAATGAAATTTAATCCTACTCATTTAAATAAGGTACTGTGGACCTTACCAGAAAAAGGTATCCCATTTCTAACCTCTAAAACCAGCATTACAGGGCAAAATAGCATCCTCTTCTGTTCTGGTCAATTGGTTGCAAGTAATCTGCGTAACGGCTTATTTTTAAAAAGTGCCATCATATGACATTCATCTGTCCTTTCTTCAAATAAATGCAATTCATGCTTTGGTTTTGTTAGTTGGTTTCTACTGACTATATCATATTGCTTTCTTATCTCACCGCAGCTATGTATGATGCCAGGAAAAGAAGCCTAGGACAATAGGTTGCAGGTAAGAATTAAGTAGAGATTATCATCCCAAAGGTGATTTTTTTTCAAAAAGTAACTGGACTTTGTTTTGCTTGAAGACATTTCACTTCTCTTCCAAGAAGCTTCTTCAGTTCTGACTAAAGAACTGGCAGAACTAAAAAAGCTTCTTGGATAAGAAGAAAAACATCTTCAAGCGAAACAAGAAAAGCCCAGTTGCCTTTTGAAAAAGCACCTTTTGGACAACCATGACTTGGATAACAGAGAATCTCCTTAGACAATTAGAGATAATGGGTTTATATCACTAATTTGGGATCTGTAACTTACTATATATTCCTAGGTCTGCAAATAATTCTTAAGTTTCCAGGTTCTTGTTCCCAATCATTACTGTCTACTTAAAATTCAAAATGTGGTTATTGTAAGAATCTTACAGTACAAGATTGGCAATTGAAAGCCTACCCAAGACAAGAAACTGAGTTATCTTTGTATTGGATATTATCTGTGAATATGACAATTTATAACTGATGGATTAATCTATCTACCACTAGATGGCAGACTAACGTCTTAAAAAATATTAGAAGCTTTGAATTAGCAAGAAAAAAGGTTTATCTATTTGTAGGCTTTATATCATACTGAATAGCATTCCAGTCAGTAGCTCAGACTTCGTCTTTCTGCATTAATTTATGTGGTTTCCATCATTCCAATTCCAAAGGCCATGTTATTTGGAACTATAAGAACTATTGTAACATAACGGAATGCTGGGTTGGAGAAAGTTGCAATAGTAGTTCTTTAATAATTCAATGCAAGACTTTTTGCTATAAAATTGAAAGAATACCATGCAACAAGAATACAGGGGTTTGTAGTGATTTGGGAGGAACATAAAGTGGCTTTGATTCAGATTTAACATCCAGATGTTAAAGATGCCTTGTCTAGAGTCATGGCTACTATTGACAAATAACCTATTAGAACTCAGGAATTTGGCTAATCCAGTTCCTTACTGGGCAAGATTCAGCACCTCTGCCAAGCAAAAGCAGAAGAGCTAAAAGGAAAAAGCTGTTGAGATCAGGACTGATTGTTTCTTAGTTTGGATGACAACTCTGGTTATAACTAAAAGTGAAACACTCTGATTTCAGTGGATCATAGAACTAAAACTGGATCCAGTTCAATGCCCCTTCTATAGAAGAAAACAAGTATGTGTGTGTCTATACAGTACCAGGGGTGTCAAACTGGATTTCTTTTGATGGCTGGATCAGCATTGTAGTTCTTCTCTGCGGGCCAGCTGGTGAGGGGAGGGGGAGAGACAGGATGGACACCTCCTGCAGCACCCTACTGGCCAAAATGGGGCATGGGGGGGTCGTGCCAGCAGAGTGCTGCCGGCCGCCCCCCCCCCCCCCCCCCCCCCCGATCCATTTTGGCTGTCAGAGGCACTGTGGGCTAGTCCTTTGCTATTTCCAGGCTCCATTTTTGCTGGCAGAGGCACCACAGGCCAGTCCTTCGCTGTTTGCAGGGTGGCCTTGTGGGCCAGATCTAAGCACCCCCTGGCCCTTGAGTTTGATGCCCCTGGTCTATACGTTCAGAGTACCTTGGAAGACTCCATTGTAAGGAGCTGAACATTATTGATTTCCTGAATTAGACCACTCATATGTTATGGATATTGATAGAATATCCTTGTTCATATTTTTGGGACATGTTTAATTTTGATCCCAAAGCAGAGGTCTGTTCCAATGGTTACCTATTTATTGTTTAATGTCGTGTTTAGGGTAATACTGCTTTGACCCTTAGTCCTACACCTTTCAAAAAAGAATATAGAAAGTTGCAATGAGGAACATAGTTGAGATATTAGAAAGAAAATTCAGTAGCCCAATTTTAGTACAGTTGTAATGAAAGGTTTCCTTCATTTATTTCCCTTAAAATAATACTTTCATACGACACCACCTCCAACTGATTATCAAAAGAGTACAGTAGGTGTTAACTAGGTGTTATGTTAATGTTATGTTGAAGTTTGTGTACTTACAACTATTCCTTTGGAGTAGATCAATCATGATACCCTTAAATTCACTTTCATCCATTCCAAAATATCAATCAATAAACCCAGTTTATTTAAGAATTGAGATTTTATATATATTATACATAACATACATTGCATTGACACAGGACCTTCAATTTCTGATACACTGCTCAACTACAGCCATATCCTTGGGGTTGATGACATGCAATAAAACTGGAGAATTAAAAGTTCTGTCCGTGATATAACAGAAAATTGGAAATTAATGTGTGTCTATTACATTCAGTTTCCATACATACAATATCAGAGTGATAGTTTTCACTGGTTATTTTCAGCTACATGTATGCTGCTTTTAACTGAAAAATTCTATCATGGCTCTATGATATTTTAATTATTTCATATTTAAATTAAGTGGATGAAAAAAACTCCCTAATGAAGGTTAAACTTAAGCTCTATGAATATATACATGAAACAAATATACATGAATTCCATATATCTCTAGAGTAGCTTTTTTCTATAATTTAACACGCCTAAAAATAATTGTTATATTTATAATATTTATTCCACTTCATTTTCATTTATAAAACAAAATTTAAATAGTATGAACTATTACAACATTAACTCAACTCTTATAAAACAACCCGAAAAGCATTCCCCTATCGTAACAGATCTGGTTTGTTTGTAACAGGCTGGTAAAGAGCTCTAGTTATCCTACATTATTGCTTGAACAATTTTTTTACCAAGTCCTAACAATAAGAACCCAGTGTTCTCTTTCACCAAGAAGCAGTGTTCTTGGGCAGCAGGCTTGTACATAAAAATACAGCTATCCTAACTAGTTCTTCCCTAAGATCTTTGATAGAAATCATAAATTATGATCATTAAAACCACTAAAGCAAGCTCCATTCTTCTTTACTTTACTTTTCTAAGCATGATATTGTTCTTGTGTAATATCAAGGGATTGAATTCTAAGGCTCACATACCTACCCAATCCTCGCTTCATGTGCCAATTCCCATTATTGACAAGCCTAATGGAGATCAATCACTCAAAACCTCTCAAAATAATCTGTCCAGCATAAAAAGAGAACTATGCCATTGAACCCTTGAGGTGGCATAAATTTGCAGCTTTGTTCAACCCTTTCTGATCATGTCAGGAGGAAACTAGTAGCAAAAAAACGTATCTGAACATTTCAATGAACATTTCAATACTTTGGCTATACTTATCACAAATGCAAACTTCAAGCCATGCAATGAGGTCACCATCAGAGTTACCCAGAAATTTTCAAAGGAATCTAAATGGTAACTTCTGGAACATGCAAAACCATAACATGCAGCCTTGTATTAATTGGGTTTATCAAGTTTTCATACATTAAATTTTATCGTACGTGGATGCAATTTTGAAACAGAAATGAAACAGAGTTAATTTAAAGAAAAAATACAATATGTTGCTTGCTTTGTGCTATGGTATTGCTATAGATCAAACACAATATTGCTTTCCTTCACAAATATAGTCACTCAAGAGGAGGAGATAAATTCTCAAAAGTGAGACTAGGGAAGGAAAATTAACACTAGTAAAATCCTGTGGGCTGTGAGGGATAATCTGCTCTCATATTTAAGGTTTATCTGAACCCTTCAAATATGATGTCATCTCACAAATTATACATGCTTATAATGCTACATTTAAAAGTTTAACAATTATTTGTGGTAACATGACAAATGAGACATTGCTGTAGCACTTGTACTTGAGACAATTTAGTTGAAAATAGGTATAAATCCACTTCAGCCTTTTCATTGGAAAGTGCAAGCTGATATATCCATGGAAGATAAGGCTGTTTAAAAGGCACACAAGTCTTATCAATCAAGACAGATCACTGCTTCCCTTTGCTGTTCCTAGCTATATCCATCCCACGGAAGACAGGATTAAGTAGTCAGAAATAAACCAAAATATTAACTGAGAATGAGATAGGAAAATGACAAATACTTCATCTAGCCATTATTCAACAAAAAGCGTGAGGTGAAAGCCAAAACGATTTCCACACAGTGGAAGGAAGAGTCAATTACTGAATTTATATCACTGGCCCCAAAAATGTTCATTTTCACATAAGACAATGACTTCTCACTTAGTGGCAAGCCCAGTGGTCTAAGAGCAGTTTGGGTAATAAGGATGGCATGTTTCAATCAGCTGATAGCAGCCTTTATTTCCAGTAGGCAGACAAAGCAAAGGATGCTGCTGTAGAAATGTTTCCAAAATGAGTCAACGCAAAAACTATCAACCAGTTTTGTGCCTGAAGACAGGGTTTAAGGCAGAGTCAGCTGCCAACTGTCACTTTTATTGTTTGCCCATACTGCTCAGGCTCACCGACATACATCGGCATTGCTTGACTTTCTGGATTTTCTTAAGTCGAAAAGGTGGGTCCAGTTCAGGGCACTCTAGCTCCACTGTGAAGGAGGTGACCTTCTGAGGCTTGCAAAAGGCACATGACTGGAAAGATTCCTCCTCTTTTTTTACATGCCGGGGGATATAGAAGGAGTTGCACTGGCCATAGCAGAAGCGGTTTATAATTGTACGGCTAAGGCAGCCTTCCTCACTGACAGTCTGCCGTAAGGGCTGGGTTTTGCACCAATCACTTTTCAGATACTTCCTCTCTGTAACCACCAAAGCCTCCTGGCTGGAGGCCAGCACTTCTTTGTTCAGATGCGGCCGCCGGTCAGAGTTATTACTTCTGCTGCCTTTGTAAGGGGAAGGGATGGCTCCCGCAGGACGATTTTTCCTGGGTTCTATCACTTGAACCAGAGTGGACATGAGAAACAGTGATAAAGCAAGTTTCCAGATCATCCTGCAAGAAGATACCAAAACAAGGATAGATATTATCCCTCTAGGAAACAGTCAAGACGTCATTTCAAAATGTATCATTCAAAGCATTCTAATTCTGTGAGTCTTATTCTGCATTCTCAAAGGGTTTTTAGGAGAGTTAGGAAATAAATAAGTAATTAAAAATGGAAAGGCAGAATAGTATACCATTAGGACTTTTTTAAAAAAAAAAACTTGACTTCATTAACAGTATCACTAATACAGTATATCTTTTGGGGGAGATCAGAATCTGTCTGCTTTAGAGGACTCTTGCTTCAATCCAAAATTTATTTTTATTTTATTAAATGTATTGATCTGCTATCTTACCACAGAATGACTCTTAATAGTCACTTCCATTCTGGAATTAAACTTTTGAAAATATCAATTGAACATTCATAATTATAATACATCATATATTTGGCAGTAAAATTACTTTGCAGTTAAACCAACTTGTGACAAATGTTCTCTTAAAATATCACAAATATAAGACAGTACCATTATAATGTATAGCTGTCCTATAAGAGATTGTAATCAGCAAGGCTCCACCCTTTCAAAACAGAAGGGTTAGACAGGGCTAATTAAAAGATAACTAATAATAAAAGAAGGAATGACAGAATAGAAGAAATATTAGTGCCTATGAAATTGTTATAAATTAGTCAAAAAAATTTAAAAAGTAAAGATGCCTCAGGTCCATATCCATGCCCTTGGCAACATTAAGGAGGTATGCCAGTGCCTTTTTCTAAAATATCTTTCATTTTTCTTGATGTTCTCTAGTGATTTACCTTCTACCGTGTTTCTCATAAAATAAGGCCGGGTCTTATATTTTTTTGAGCCCCCCAAAAATGGCTAGGACGTCTTTTTGGGGTGACTTAATCCTCCCCCTTGCATCCTCATCTAGAGCTCCCTGCGGGCAGCCTCGCCACCAGCCGCTCCTAACGGGTGATCATGGCAAAGCGCAGAGAGCTCCCTACTCCCACCAAACACCTTTGCTGCAGACCCAAGACCTTTGGCACCCGCCACTGTTGCTTTCCCTTCTGCCCATTCCACCACCACGTTTGGAGCTGCCGCTTCCATGTTTGGAGTGCCACCATGTTTGGAGTGGCGGCGGCGCTCCAAATGGCGGCGGCGCTCCAAACAGCAGCAGTGCTCCAAACGTGGAAGCGGCAGCTCCAAACAGCAGCAGTGCTCCAAACAGTGGCAGCGCTCCAAACGTGGAAGTGGCAGCTCCAAACGCGGTGGCGGCATGGGCAGAAGGGAAATCAACAGTGGCGGGCGCTGAAGGTCTTGGGTCTGCCGCAAAGGTGCTTAGCAGGAGTAGGGAGCTCTCCACGCTCTGCCATGATCGTCCATTAGGAGCAGCTGGTGGTGACGAATTGCTGCCCGCGGGGTGCTCCTAACGGCAAGCCCTTTCCCCCATTTTGCATGTTTTAAAATAGGCCTAAATTTGGGGGGAGGGGCTTAATTTCATTTTATGCCTAGAAAACATGCTGGGTCTTCCTACTGGGGGAGGTCATATTGTTGGAGAAACACGGTAAGTATTAAGTTGGCTCACACAAGGTCAACCATCTGTTGCCACCTGCTAAGATATTAAAATGCAGCCAGTATGATTTATTTTCATCCTGGAGGCACAGTAGGATTGAATTCCATAAAAATATTTTGGAGCAGGGAAGTGGACATGAATGCAGAACCCATATGAAACTTTTTAAAATTGCTTATTTTTTTTCCTTGGGATTGTCTGTCAATGGTCTGAAGTCCCAGGAAGAGACATGGCTGCTTTTTAAAGAGCTGCAGAAAGTGTTCCTATCCTCTCCATAGCCCTTTTTCCTGAATTCTTTTCAAAGTGTTCCTTGACTTCATCAAAACATGTCTTATGCAAACATGCAATCTCATCTTCTCACTTCCATGCACTGGTAGTCTCTCTCTGCAAGGTGTAAAAGGACAAACTTACAACTCTGCACAATCACGAGTATACAGAAGGCCTTCTTCTTCTTCTAGTATTTTAATTGATCTTATAACCAATAAGAAAAGTATTTTTTCAGTTGCTTTCTGGGAAGAAAGGAGGCACCATAATGATTATGTTTCTTGCCCATCAGTTAATTATCAGACTGATTGTGCCCAGTGTAAAGAGGGACAGGATGTAAAACATAAGAGGTCTGATAGAGCCTAGAACTGCTTTGCCAGATGTCTGTCCTAGCCCAATTTTGAAATGAACAGAATTAAGTCACCAGGGCTCAATACAATGCAATCGGTCCACACCTTTCTTCCCAAGCATAAGGCCAAATACAATAAGAATGATGCTTATATAACAAATATATCCAGATGCTTTGAACAGACTCCATATTAGTTAGAGTCACCTGAGATGGAATCAGATAAATATCTGCCCTCAAGCTTTCCTTCTGACCATGTACTATGCAGAGAGACTGGAAGTAAATGATTCTCCAGTATAAAACTGAGACTGGTTACTGAATTGCATAATCAGAGAATTCAGCAGCACAAGCACAAACCTGCTTTACACAAAGTTTACAGTATATTTGGGAAGAGGGCTATTTTACATAGGGAGTTAAGTGTGTAAACTGGTTGGTACACAGAAGAGAACGTCAGTTTAACTTAGGATGTGCACATTTTGAAGCTACTTACCTAAGCAGAAAATTGATGCCAAAATCTTGAGCCATTCACTTGACCTTCTGGAAGTAGAAGGGACAATTTGTCTTAGTATCCTGCAAAAAAAATCATTAAAAATGATACTGAGCACAGCTATTTTACCAACACAATTTTCTGCACAATTTAAACTATTTATACATTAAGTTTGACTTAGCCTGAATTTCACTTGTTCAGTGATCTTAAATCTTGAAGATGTTTATTTCTAGCTCTTGTAAAATCAAAATCCAGCATAAATCAATGAGCTTCTCTTGCAAATAAGTATGCTCAGGATCGCAGCCAAAATGTAAAATGATTATCTCCATCAAAAGACTCCAGCCAGTCTTCAGAGGAGTCATAGCACTCTACTTGACTAACACTCAGTTATTGTGGCCAAAACCATTGGATCTCAACTGGATATGCAGAGGCCAAATTTCTTTCCAATCAGCTAATCACAGCTTTCTCTGGAGATGCAACTGAATCTAGTATTATTCCTTTTCCTCCTTGTTGCCAGACCCAAAAATATACAAACAATGAGTCAGAATTTTATCTGAATCTAAGCTTATTTAATTATTCAAAATGCAAGTGATTGGAAAACATATATACATCATTGGTTTGGATACTGGGTTTTCCTACTTATTCATATGAATCCAAAACTTAATGCCATTGTACAGATTCTTGTAATGAAATAATCCTTCCCTCCTTTTTCTTTCTAGTGACAGAGCAGATTTTTTTTAAAAAGTATTATATTCATTTTCCCCATTCTATATCAGTTTCTAAAAGTTCACAAGAAATCTGCCCTTTTGTCTTCTCATAGGTATCTTTGTTAAGAGTTTTGCCTAACAAAAAGCTGGGCTACTGCAATTCAGTCAACTTAGGATTTCCCTTGAAGACCATTAGGAAGCTTCAGCTGGTGTGATGCATAAGGCAGCCTGGATAGTTATTCCAAAGTTCCCGCACATAATACATTTTCTTTGGTAACCAAACCAGCTGCATTGCATTCCTTTTGAATCTATACTGATCCCCAAATTCAAGATGTTGGCTGTTTCTTTTAAAATTCTATATGGCTCAGGATCTGGATGTCTTTATGATTGCCTTCTCCAAACTAAAACTATCCATATGATAAGACTGGAAAGCTTGTTGAGAGTCCCATCAAGCCTTCTCAATACTGATGGAACTGTGAAATATTTTGCCCCCACGTCTGGACCACCCCATTATTGCCGGACTTTAAAATGGCCCCAGAGATGTGTCTATTCAAGAGACCATTTGATATGAGGACTAGCTACCCATCCATACTCTGTTGGTAGGGTGTCTTTTGCTTGTACTAGTCAATCTTCTTTTACTCTTTTTAATCCCTATTGGTGAATATCGCTCAGTGTCCCCAGGCCACTGTGGAGAACAGTGCCAGATCTCAAAAGCAAGTTAGTGGTTTATCTTAGGTTGATTTCAAAAGAAAATGATTGGGAGACATTCATAGTTGATTGAAAGATGGGCAGCCATATAAATGTTTAAAATAAATGCAATAACAAAATATATGTGAAATATATGAATATATTATAAATTTTATGGTGAAATCAAAAGGATCAAATCCTCCTAGAACTTTTGGAAGAAAAATACTATAAATTCTGGCTATAATGAAAGAGTATTGCAAATCAGGAAAGGTACCATCAAGGAGAAGAGTTTGCCAATATAATTTGAAAACAGAATCAATACAATCAATCAGTCAATACAATCTTTATGAAAATGTTATTTTATCAGAAATCGAAAGAACAAACATCTTTGCATACAAGAATTCTTGAATTCTAAGCTGAAAGTAATGACTGCTCTAAAATTATCTGATTAGAAAAAGTATCTTCTGAATAAGAAACCAGTGAAGAAATCAGTGCAATATGCTGCTCTGGTGTTGTTGTTTTTTTAACGAAAAAATAGGAAAAAAATACTTAGGAAGAAATATTTTTAACACCACCAATATTATAACCCACTTAAAAATAAAGTGAACATGACAGAAGTGTACAAATTATGCAGAATGGGGGGGAAAGCATCTATTTGTTTTTCTAGGGCCCTAGCTCATCCAATGATGAAAAACTCCAAATAGATAAAAGGAAGACAATTTGCCAAAACAAAAATGTAGTGATGCCTCCCACTTAGATAGCTTTAAAAGGATTAGGAGGATTAGATTATCACTGGCTACCAGTCATGATGACTCCAGATTACTTTCAATATCAGAAGCAGTAGGCTTGTGATTATCTATTGCTGGAGAACATTAATGGGAGATTTCTGCCATTAATGTTCTGTTCATTCTACCCGCACGTTTTCCACAGGCATCTGGCTGCTGCTGGCTACAATCGGTACACATATCAGACAAGACATTGGGTCCGGTCCTACTACTATCATTGGTTTCCTTACAGTAGAGATTGTGCAGAAATTCCACATTCTTACAATTAACATTAAATTGGGGGGGAAGGGGGGGGGGCAGCCTTAAATGTATACTAGCCTGCAACAGAGGAAAGGTGGCACACTGATGAATAGAAATTAGAAAGCAGAATCCATGGGAGTATCTCATGGAAGTGCAATATGAAATAATAATAGTCAAGGGAAAAATAGACGTTGTCTTTGTATGTTTCAAGAGGAAAATAGACATTGTCTTTGTAGGTTTTTTTTTGGGGGGGTGGCAAAGATTCTTCTCTGTTACCTGCTTGCAAAAAAAAAAAAAACCTTAGAAGATTCTGCACAAACAGCAAGCACTCTTATATAAAATGTAATAGACTCTACTGTGATTCAATATTCAGATTATACAGAATACAGAATAATAGTTGGAAGACCCTGGAGGTCTTCTAGTCTAACCCCCTATTCAAGCAGTAGACCCTACACCCGTGATGGCAAATCTATGGCACGTGTGCCACAGGTGGTATGCAGAGCCATTTTTGCTGGCACACGAGCTGCAGGCAAATTTACCTCACTGCACATGTGCGCACCTCACAGCTGATTTTTCGGCTGGTTTGAGGCCTTTTACGGCCTCCCAGAGGCTAGAAAAAAGCCTCTGCAGTCCAAATAATAGGCCTGTTTCATCACTTCCTGTAATGCCAGAAGTGACTAAAGGGGCCTATTCGGCCTGCAGAGGCTTTATTCCTCTGGGAGGCCGAAAAAGGCCTCAAAACCAGCCGAAAATCAGCTGTGAGGCGCAATGCAGGTAAGCGGGCAGGGGGGTGTGGGGGATTGCGCACACATGCGCAGGGGGCATGCGGGGCACACATTGCCTTCTGGGTGCTGGCACATGAGTGCACAAGTGCCAGCCCGCACACAATTTTTGGCACAGGAGCCGAAAAAGGTTAGCCACCACTGCCCTACACCATTTCAAACAAATGGCTGTCCAGTCTCTTCTTAAAACCCTCCAGTGATGAAGCACCCACAATTTCTGCAAGCAAACCTAGCTTAATTCTGCTTTGATTTTGTAGAATTGGAGGTTAGAATTTTATGAAGAGTTGGGGATCTTTTAGACTTTGCTTTACATTAGTTTGGAAGGTGAACAAAGAAGAAAGTAAAGTATAAGTAAAACTCAGGAGGATGCACCAGTAAGTCCAAGTGACTCATCATTCAAACTAAAAAGTAAGACAGTTTGGAAGTTTTAAATTAAAATTCGAGATTCTTGCTCATTCTAACTTTTGCCAAATCTCAGAATACTACATTAAAGTCTCAGTTTCAGAATCGATGAACACCAGCCTTTTAGAAAAGAACTGACATGGGTGAGATCAATGAACTTGGATCCAGCTTGAAAAGCAGTGTTTACTCCCAACATCAACCCTAATGACAAGACAGCACGGGGATAATCACCAAAGCTTTTTTTTTTTCTTGTGCAAAGCAGGCATGTGCTACAGAACTCTTTTCCCCAAAAGGGAGAAACCAGACCAAAGAGGTATCAAGTGAAAATGGCTTGGCGAACACTCCTGTAATGTTTTGAATCTTAGTTACAAGCAGAGCTTTCAGAAAGGGCCATCAAAATAATAATTTGGAAGATGAGTGCTATAACTGTAGTTGATATTTGGAAGACTGACCAATGATGCATGTCACACTCCACAGATACAGACACAGCACTGAATCTTAATTAGTTTCCATAGAAACTACGATTTCAGAAGGGGGGGGGGGAAGAGATGTGAACCAAGGACAAAAGCAAAAATAAGCAAGATAAACAATATACAAGATAATATAATATACAATATAAACAGAGTACTATGAAGTTTTTATTGGCACATTTGAAAAAATTGGCCAAGTAAGTAGCAATAAAATGTTATACCATAATGAGCACTTTTCTCCAGTTTTGTAGGAGAGAAATAGAAAATGTCTAGGAAAGGAAAAGCAAGCAATTTCTGATTATACATGTTTATTACACTGAATTAAATGGGTTTGGGATAGCCTTCCAGATCTCCTGGGTGTCCCCTGTGGACAACAGGAGTGATAGCTCAATACATCCAGAGGGGAAAAGTTTGGAAAATATTAGTTTAGAAACTGTCTTCAGATCCACAGTGCCTTTCCTTACATTGGTTTAGGAAGTTAAAGAATCATATTCTATACAGGTAGATTAATTCTTAAAGGAAAAACAGGGAAGGGGAAAAAGAACATTCCTGATTAAATATTAAGAATTTTTAACTTAGCCACCAGACAGTCTGTTGGCTGCAGCTCTTCAGAGTAAGCAATTTATTTTACTAAGAAGAAAACTGGTTTACTCAACTTACCAACTTTATTAAATGAAAGAGCACTAACCTTCAGAGAGATCTACTCTTTCAGAAGTAAATGAAGCCATTTAGATTTGCTATGATGAAATCCCTGTTATTTTAAAAGAAGAGTAATTGTTGGATATGTTTTAGGAGTACTTCAAATAGAAAAGGGGGAAAAGATTTCATTCAAAATAAAGAATAGACTGATTAAAAAAAAATATTGCCCAACAGAAGACAGCTTTGCTTGTGCATCAGCACAAAGTTTTAACAATTGGGTAAAGCTAAACAGACATCTGGAGAATGGGGATTATGGCACTGAACTTCTGGATGACAACAATCCAGAGAAGAATTTGTTAGCATTAACATGA